GGCCAGTTTGTGTTAACAGCTCAGTTGTTTCAGCTTTATAGTTCCAAAAAAGGAACGGGTTTTAACATTTGGATATTTTCATTTTTCGATTTTGACCTTTATTGACATTTGTTGACCGATATCTTTCGACCTGAATAATGTAGAAGCTTGAAATTTAAAACACAACATAACATTTGGAATATCTATTACCCTATGCAAAAAAAATTAAGGTGGGCGTGGCACATCTGGGTTATATTACTCATTATTGACATTTTTTGCCAGGAGCATAACTCGCAAAGTATACGTTTGTTCAAAATGGAACTTTGCATACAATTATCTCATGTTTCGAGCCACTTTGTCTTAGAAGTTCGGTTGTTTCCGCTTCATAGTTCAAAGAAAGGAACAGGTTTTGGAAATTCCAAATTTTCAATTTTTGTCCTTGACCTTTGTTGACCTTGACCTTTGTAGGATCAAACATCATTGGCATTGGCTATCTATTTATACTTTTATATTTGCTGTCCTATGTCAACTTCCGGTTTTATAGTCGTGTGCAATTAGAAATTTTGATGACGTATATCTCTTGATCTTGACCTTTTTAGACCTTCTCCTTTACAAGATCAAAGGTCATTGACCTTGGCTATCTGCTGATACTTTCATTTGTGAGGTCTGACGTCTACTTCCGGTATTAGAATCTTCTAAAAAAGAAAAATTATCAACTTTAGACCGTTCTTGCGCTTGACCTAATTATCGTCGATGGTTGATTTTTTCGGGGTCTTTAGCAATTTGCTACATTTGCAAAGTCCCACTCTGTGCCACGAGTGGCTCTAGTTTTGAATTATTTCACAAAACTGTTAGGAAACAGAAGCTCTGACATTCAAAAATTTTTAAGCATTTATGGTTCAACATAGTTAAGAAACAATTCTTTAAAATTCCCTACTACGATATTCCTATCACATGCATGTGACCCTCAGGAGTAATTCAAGTAAATGTTTTCTGACTCGCACAAGGATTATTCAATTCTTAGGTATGACATAAATCATTTTAAATGTTAAGATTGACCTCAAAAACCATTGAACAAACGTGTGTGTCTTTGATTACATGAAAATCTTCTGATATAGTAGATAATATGATGTACAAATTCCAATATCCCCAAAAAAAACCTTGAGAAATGATGAGTAATCTACTTTATGACAGGCTAATCTGACAAATATTCCTCGCCTTACAGAACCAGTGGAAAGCTGATTAAACAGTAAGTTGATACAATCCCTTTAGAAAGAATAATATCCGTAAAGGAAGAGAGTGTATTGAAATAAAACAATCAGCCAGGAGATAAGAGTTATTAATATAAAATTTAAAAGTCATATTTCAATTATATTACATTCTTTTCTCACTAGATTCTAGGTAAGACGAATGAAGTTGATACTGAGAGCTTGGTTGACAATCAATTCTGACTGAATACATGTTTACAAATAATATAATTTAAATAAGCTCTAGTCATTAAAGAATACTGGTATTTTTTTTTCAAACATCCTTATTAGTTTTTTTTGATTTTGTCATTGAATTCCAAATCCAGCAAATCTTGATTTGATGAATAATTTTTTTTGATCTGAATGGGTTATACAGTTGTTGTAAATCAAGATTTATGCAGTGCATCATTCCTAACATATAGAGTTATCCGTTGTGATGAACCTCTTTTATAAAAATTGATTTATCACTTAATTCTTAAAATTATTAAAAATTATAAAGAATTTGCACAACATAATGGCTTCAGAGGTGCTTATACAGCTATTTTTTAAAAAATCTAATCTAATTTTAGTACTGAGTTTAGGGAAATACAGTTTAATTCAAATTATCAGTGGAAATTAAATGAAAAAATAAGCCATGTAGTCAAGAAAACTAGAACATCTAGAAACTTGAATACACTAATGTGATTAGTTTGAATTATTATGTATTATCACTATCACAATTCATTTCAATTTACATTTCACTTGTCACTATCAATCATACAATCATCTTAACTCATGTTTCAAAATTCAATTTCATATTTCTATGGAATTCGTTAATTTTTTTTTTGGAAGAACAAAGATTCAAAGGAAGAAAGATTGATACAAAGCAAAGCAGCTGTCTTACTAGAATACAATATGGTTGATTTACTTTTTACTACACCATAATAATAACTTTATTGCAAATATTACCCTAAATATCCTCATAGCACTGTTAAAGATAATATAAATAATAATCTTACATAACTTAATAACAAAATTAACACATAATACAATAATTATTGCCGCCAAAAGGTCTGATATTTTTTAGTATTTTACAATCATTATAACACTCTATAATTGATGTTTTGTTTTAATATTTCTATAACGCTCTACAACAATGAGCTCTGCTTTAATAGTTCTATATTGCTCTACAATTGATGTATTAAGCACTATTTTAACACTGAGTTTTGTTTTATTATTTCTATATTGCTCTACAATTGATGTGTTGAGCACTATTTTAACAGTGAGCTCTGTTTTAATAGTTCTATATTGCTCTATAATTGATGTATTGAGCACTATTTTAACAATGAGTTCTGTTTTAATATTTCTATATTGCTCTACAATTGATGTATTGAGCACTATTTTAACACTGAGTTTTGTTTTAATATTTCTATACTGCTCTACAATTGATGTATTGAGCACTATTTTAACAGTGAGCTCTGTTTTAATAGTTCTATATTGCTCTATAATTGATGTATTGAGCACTATTTTAACAGTGAGTTCTGGTTTAATATTTCTATATTGCTCTACAATTAATATATTGAGCACTGCTTTAACAGTGAGCTCTGTTTTAATAGTTCTATATTGCTCTACAATTGATGTATTGAGCACTATTTTAACACTGAGTTTTGTTTTAATATTTCTATATTGCTCTATAATTGATATATTGAGCACTATTTTAATAGTGAGCTCTGTTTTAATAGTTCTATATTGCTCTATAGTTGATGTATTGAGCACTATTTTAACACTGAATTTTGTTTTAATATTTTGCTCTACAATTGATATATTGAGCACTGCTTTAACAGTGAGCTCTGTTTTAATAGTTCTATATTGCTCTACAATTGATGTATTGAGCACTATTGTAACACAGAGTTTTGTTTTAATAGTTCTATATTGCTCTATAATTGATGTATTGAGCACTATTTTAACAGTGAACTGTTTTAATATTTCTATATTGCTCTATAGTTGATGTAGTGAGCACTATTTTTACAGTGAGCTCTGTTTTAATAGTTCTATACCACTCTATAATTGATATATTGAGCACTATTTTAACACTGAGTTTTGTTTTAATAGTTCTATACCGCTCTACAATTGATATTTTGAGCACTATTTTAACAGTGAAAATATATTGTATGAATATTACTATATCATTGGGTATTTAAACGCAGTATAACTTTTAGTTGTTTCTTCATCAACTGTTTTCTATCATTTGTAAAGTATTTACAATGCATTTCATTGAGAACCAGTGGGACCCGCTTCTACAACACATTTAACACAAACCTAAACTGTTAGAAAATAAAACCATTTACCAAATTCTGTTTTACAACTATAGAGGTACCCTACTCAAAGATTATCATTTGTAGAAATTTAATGAATATAACATATCTGATACATGGAAAGAAAAGAGTGATACAAAGATGAAATTCCTATTAATACAGAAACCAAACGCTGATGTTATTTTGAAATCGGTTAATCTCGTAAAAACTGTAACTCCTTTGTTGAAATAATAAAATTATATGATCTAGTTCTTATTATGCTTTTTCTGAATTATTTTGACTGGTTTTAAGTGGTATAAATATTAAAATAATTTTAACAATGGAATTAAAAGTCAAATGAAAACCAAATGATTTATTTTCATATTATCTATGCATCTTCGATAAATGTGATTGAAATGTATTTTTCAATTTATGACCAAATACATGAGAACTTTTAAAATAAAACACCTTTTAAATTCCAAACCATTAAAATTTCCAATAGGTATTATTATTGCCATTTTCTCTTTAAAACATTTATATATAAACATAATAATTGACTTTTCCTATAAAATGGGTTTTATATAAATGTGACAAACGATGTTATATACATGCAATTATAATTTGATTGTTTGAAAGCTTAGTGGGAAAGCTATCAAACATTTAAACACGAAATCAACAATTAGTGCAAACAATAACATGCCATAAATTGGTTACAAAAAATGCCATAGCTATTCTACATGAAAGTTAATATGCTTGACAAAACAAATAAAATTGATTCATACCAATAAGAGTTGTGTTTTTTGCATGCAAATATTCTAAATAGGTATGCTATAAACAATAAAACTGATCATTTTCTTATGATATAATCTAAGATATAAATTCTGTTTAAATCTGTTATAAACTACATATTAATAGATATACAAAGCAATTATCTGATCATTTTAATAAGAGAACCGTAAGAAGAAGGTCTAGGTATGTACAGATATTTACTTTAATATTTAATGATTGTTATTGTACTTTATGAGATTCCATTAAAATAATGTTTGAAATTATTTAATTTATGACAATTTCAATAGCCAAACAGAAAATTGGACATGGATTCCAGTTATAGAATAAAACATATCATCAAAAATATCTTTATTAGCTTTATTTCAAAAAGGACATCTCCAGCTTTAATAAGTCATGACTCTCAAGAAAATGAGCTTCCAGAAACAGACTCATACTTTTGAGGCTCCTGAACATCTTTATACAATGTCATCTTTAACAAAATAAATATATTAAACATATCAAATTTAATTCTACTGCATAATCAAATTATATTAATTGACAACTATTCCATTGTTCATAAAAAAACAAGATGAAATATGGTGTACTCAATACTCAACATTTTGTTCTTGTCTTTGAGTTAATCTTAACCTTCATAGAATGAAGAACAGCCCACTCAGATTGTG